CAGAAGCAGAAAGAGTGGATCTGAGGCATCAAACAATGGATGAGAGAAGAAATTCAGACGAATGGATGATAGATTATGCACTTCAACTGGCTGTTACAAACTTAGGTCCAGCCCGGAAGAAGAAGGTGGCTCTGCTTGTCGAAGCTTTCGAAACCGTCCTTCCATTGCCTATGTGTGAAAAACCTCTCAGACATGGCACATCAGCCTTCAATCATCTGAGTTTTATTCAAGCATGCAGCTAATACTCTCACAGGTAATTTAAATCAAAGATAGAACTTTTGTTTAGCTTTTGTTTTCATTTCATTCATAAACTACTTCATTATAGGCTTTTCTATTCTAGTTCTTGTACTAATTCTATTTCTTTTTGTTGAAGCAGATTACTTTGAGTAATTAGGCTGCGATTGAATGAGATTTGGACATAAGAAATCTTTAATGGCCGGATTGACGTAAGAATTCCTTAACCAAGAATTTAGTACTGATATATAAGAGTGTGATGTTTGTCTCCATGAACAATTCTGTTCTGCTTGTTAAAAAGGTGTGTCTGGCTTTATAAATGATATGAATTGCTTAAACTACAACTGCTTTTATGTATTTTCTTCTAAAGTGAAATCAAATATGTATTTATGTGTTTTTTTTTGTTGTGAGGATGATTCTATGATATTGACCATGATTCTATGATATAGACAATGTAAGCTTGCTATGTTACTCAAAAGTAGTAGTTTTATTTGTAGAATTAGCACGCTCAAATTATGATCCGCTTGGTGTCATGTAGATGGAAAAATTGCTTTAGAAAATTATGGAGTTATTGTATATTATTGTTAAGTTGAATGCATTTAAATGCAAATTTCTGTTTGAGCTAAGTAAAAAAGGTGGATTTTTTATGCAAAAAACAAAAGGTAAAATTGAAACAGTTTTTTTTTTTTAAATATATTTTCCATCTCCATGCAACCAACTGAATAAGCTCTTAATGAACCCAGCCTAATAAACCTGAAAATAGAATTGGTATATGTATGCTAAAAAAAATAAAGAATACAAAAATTAAAGGCATCAGAATAAACATAGTAAAAACAAAGGAAATATGAAAAAAAAAGTAATTTAATGCCTCAAATATTACAGGTAAATAAACGAACAATGAAAATTTGTAAATGAATCATAATTAGTTTGGTAAAGCAAATGATGATGATGATTAGTATATTCAATATGAAATGGTTGAAGATTAACAAATTACTTAAAGAATGAATAACAAATTTCATTCTTTCGTCCGTTGGTTTAAGACGGTTTTCTTCTTGTGCAATCAAGCCC